TGCAAACATTGCTAACGTTTTCAGTTTAAAGATGATTTAAATGCACAGCTTTGTCAAGCTGGAGGAATTATGTTTCTCTCTTTCTTTGTGAAAATATTTACATCCTACCTTTTGCTCAGGGTTCTCAGGCTGGCTTACAATAAAATCAATGTAAACTAATAAATAATCACAGAAGTGTTTTTAAAAAGTATATTCAATAGTTGATCAGTTAAAAACAGACAATTCAAAACTGGTTAAAATGATCTTGAATAATATAACCATAAAACATGTATAACCTGGATATAATTAGTTTGGCCCTAAGACTTGAATAAAAAGCCAAATTTAACCAGGCACCAAGATGATTCCATTATGAGAGAAGGAAATATACAGGCAAGGTGCCACTATAGACCTCTGGCATGTACTCCCACAATGTTTTTTCCCTTAGTGATGGGACCTGGGCAAGGGCCCCTCCAATATATCTCAAATCTTAGACAGGCATATAGAGGGAGAGGCATTCCTTTAAGCTAGCAGTTCTCAAACTGTGTTCTGAGGAGCCATTCACACAGCCCCACCATGCTGCCATGCCCGTTTGCCCATGAAGCCCCACCAGAGGACATCATACATCATTTGATGGGTGGTGCGGGGCTCCATGGGTGAACCGGGGCAGAAGTGTCCTAGAACATTCCAATTGCCCCATGTGATGAAGCCCCAAGAGTACTCCAAAACTCTAAACTTGCTCATGTTCTGATTGTCCGAAACCTCCCCTCCCCCCTCCCCCCTCCCCCATTTTTTGTTAAAGATAAATTTAATGGTTTCTGCTTGGCATTAAGTCCAGTCATGTCTGACTCTGGGGGGTTGTGCTCGTCTCCATTTCTAAGCCAAAAAACTGGCATTGTCCGTAGATGCCTCCTAGGTAATTTGGCCAGCATGACTACATGGAGCACTGTTACCTTTCCACTGAAGCAGTGCCTATTGATCTATGCACATTTGCATGTTTTCAAACTGCTAGGTTGGCAGAAGATGGGGCTAACAATGGGAGCTCACCCTGCTCCCAGGATTCAAACTGCCAACCTTTTGGTCAACATGTTCAGCAGCTCAGCTATTTAAACTGCTGCACCACATGTTACATGTTTTAAATAAGAAAATATACTTTGCAAATAAAATATAATGTATAAATGCACATTCACACGTAACAATAAAAAAAGAAATATCAACTTTTAAATGGTAGCAAAATGTTGTTGTAATAAAGTACAAAGAACAAAGTGAAGGGGTAGAAGCATCATTTTTGTCATACTGTACTCATTCCAGCCTCCCTCCCTCTCTTGCTCTCTCATCTTCTCTCTCTTCATGAAGCCAAACATACTAGGAATAAAAACCACACAAAATTAGCTAACCCAAAGTTCCTCAAAGTGGACAAGAGCAAAACGGACAGCAATTTCCCAAAATGGACAAGAACACGAGGCATGGAGGCATGGAGGCTGCTCCCTCGAAGCCCTAAAACCCTGTACTCTTGTGCTAGTGCTGCATCTGACACTAGCTCATAACTCAAAATGCTACTCTTATATCAAAGTGAAACCTGGGCTGAGTAACAACTCTTAACTCAAAATGCTCTTAAGCTGGGGCACTCTTAAGCAGAGATTCCACTGTACTTGTTAAAGCTTTAACAAAATTTATAACAAAAATCTTATCCAAATCCTCCCATAACTAAGGTTTTGGCCACACTCAAGCAAAAAACAAAAACAAAACCATACTGATCTTGAATCTCTAGGCCTTTGACTTGTAATAGAATCAGGTAGAAGGTTGTTCTTTTTTTTAATGTAGTCTGTTTTTAAAATGTTACTATATTTTAAATTGTTTTCAATTGTTTTAAATGTCATTTCTGTGATATAATTGATGATTTAATTGTTGTTGTTTTTTTAAAAAAAACTTTGATATTAATACATTTTGGCTATTTTAATATAGTTCTAAGTATCTGGTTATCCCCCACTTTCAGAAAGGTAAGGTATAAATTAAAAGAACAAACACACTTGTTAAGAGTCCATGCAATAAGGACAACTGTTATGGCAGCTCTGGTCAAGATTCAAGATCAAACCACAAGGAATAGAATGCCTTCTGTGTGAAGCTCCATGAAAATGCTAGTTCTCCCCTGTCCCGGCACCTGCTTAGTAGAGAATATTTTATGAGGAGCAAGTGAATACCTTCTTGTGCAACATCCAAAAGCAAAAATACATATGCCTAACCAAGATTCAAGCTAGTTTGTTTGTTATATTCACATTAAAATAGATAGAGAAAGAAGCAAATGCAACAGGTCACATTTCCTTTTAGCTAACTTAAGCAGATCAAAATAGCTGAGCATATATACAGATCCTCACAGCAGTACATCAGATGGGAATACATCCATGTTGCTCAGCTACAGTGACTATATAATGCAATTTGAAGGTATAGTGCATTTTAAAACCGGTTTTGATGAACAGCATTAAGAAGCATTAAGAAGCTAGCTTCAAACTGTAGGGGTTGCAAAATACACTGAAGTGTGCTGCAGTGCAGATTAAGGCCTTAAAAATGGCATCCAGCAAAGTCAGGGGAAAGTCCACAATAAACTTTTTAATATATTTCAATGAGTCCTTAATCTAAAGCACATTGCACTGTGAAATGTGAATTAGAAATACCTGCCCATGCTGGAGTGCTTTTAGAATGAGATGGAAGGGAGCTTCTGAAATACACTCCAAGTCCAAAACTGAGTCGCTGGGAGCCAACTGAACCCCTGGAGTAGGTAAATTATCACCTCCATTGCAAACTGTCACTTCCCCTCTCCCTCATCTCATATGCCTCCAAAGCATTGGTGCATATCTGGGCACGGAAATGAAGGGAAAACACATTCTCCAACAGCTGGAAAGAGCCAGTCTGAGGCCACCTTCCATGGTTAATGAAATCACCTCCCTAGCCTCAAACCTGTTCCAGACATGCCAGTCTAATCATCTGCACAGTGAAAATTCTGCCAAATCAGTTCCAAATTGACCTAAGTTAAATCTTAACTGCTTCTATTTCCTGGTTAGAAAGTGCTCAAGGTCTAAAATTCATTTTTTTTCTCTGAAAAGTGAGCCCCCAGCAGAGAAAGGGAAGATTATTGAACTTTTTAGAGATGAAAAACATATTAGAAAGGCAGGGCAACATGGCATAGCTCAAGTAAAATGGTTTACATGATTGTTTACATAAAATATACATATGCCTAACCAAGATATGCTAGTTTGTTTGTTATATACAAATAAAAATGGATAGAGAAAGAAGCAAATGTATTTGCTTCATATGTCAATTATCTTGTGTCAGAAACCTGTCTGGTTAACTATTCAAGCTTCTGGGCATTGAGAGAACTATATAGATTGTTGCTGTTAGAATGCTAAACTATCTGCTATTCTTCTAGCTATATATACCTTATGGGAACAACCTCCCATTTGATGTCATTTTCTGGGGATTAAAACATTGATACACTATGGGTGCATTTGAACTGCAGCATCAGTGCAACTTTACTGTATTTTAAATGCCATGGCTCAATTCTATGGAATCTGGGAGATATAATTTGGCGAGACACTAGTATTTGTGGGAAGAGAAGACTAAAGACTTTGTAAACTACACCTCTTGTGGTACCATAAAATTGAGCTATAGCGGTTAAAGTGGTGTCAAACTGCATTCATTCTACAGTGTAGATGCAGCTGGTGACCTTATCACACGGGGAGCCTCCCCCCCCATGCTATTTCATCAGCAAATGTGGCAAAATGACAGGCATGAGGGGCAACTCTGTCACCCACGTTCCACTCCAGTGCTGTGAGGAAGTGTCACCTGAACACTGCAGAAGTGTGCTAGCTTCATTGAAGCCAGGACAACATTGGAAGGCTCCCCTTGAATGCTTCTACCCCGGTTGGAGGCGGGGTCTCCGCCAGAAGTCAAGTAGCATTGTGGTGATGACTGGCATGGGGATCCATCCCTGAAGAAGGCTTGAAGCATCCTAGGACACTTGTTTTGGTAAGTAATGAGTCCCTAGTCCGCTAAACAACCCGACACCCCAAACTGCCTACTACCATCCTTGGTGTTTTATTAATTTCTAAGGCACCACTTCATAGTAAATCAGGCCAAGACTATGTTTGCATAAAAGCATTTAATTCAACAATTCATGTTTTTATGCTAGATATTTGATTTTAGGTTGTATGTTACAGTTTGGTTTTATATGTGGGTTTAATTTGGTATATGTGGGTTTATTTTGGGGTTTGGATGGTTTGATATTGTATCTGTATTTATTGTTTTGTATCAAGGATTGAATGTGTGCCTTTTTGTCTTAGAATTCCCCCTGTGTCCCCTCGGGGAGATAGGGTAGAACATAAAAAGGGTTTTTTAAAAAAATTATTGTTGTTTTATTATTAATACGTAACCCTCTTTCAACAAATACAACAGTAATGATTGTAATATAATTTAATATAAAGACTGTATTTTTCACAGAACCCTAGTATGTTAAGGGGAATTTTACTATTGATTACTGTTCCTTGAACTTTAGTTACATTTTAACATCTCAGGGAAATCATTAAATCAGAAAAGGGGAAAAAAGAAACAAAGCTGCATTTGTCTTTCACCACCGAAACACTAAATGTTTCCTAAGAAGCTAGTTGCATATTGAGTACACAATTTCCCAAAAAGATATAAATTGGAATTCTCATAATATATAACTTCTGATTAGTTTTGGAGATAAGCAACTCTTAATAGAAGAAGTGTATGTGAGTCCAGTGTTGGGGCTGAGATCCTCCACTAGCAGTATATCTAGAGAACTATGCCCTCCAACATTTCACAGAGGAGAATTGGGACATGAGTGGCCGAGCAACATCAGGATGTGGCCAAGGTGGGAAAATATCATTAATGAGGGAGAATGCACAAAGTAGGGGAAGCTGCAGCAGTTGGCTTTTGTCTTAGCCTACTGTGAAGAGCAACATTCCCTCCCATCCATCTAATTCCACTACTATATTAATAGATGCCTACTACTTTGCACTTTGAACAGTGTACAGTGACCGAGCAAGCTGCGAACAAACGGAGAATGTGGGAGGAGGACAAAGGAACTAGGACATTTTTAAATCAGCTAAAAAATTGGCTTACAAAGACTTAATTGGATTAGTCCTCAGCAAACCAAGACAGGTGGAGGATATAAAGTATTTTTCTTAATTGTTTTTATTAGATAATTATTTCTAAGACCTTTATCCCACAAGTTTGGTACAGTATGATTGCAGTTCTATAATAGCATCTGTAAGGTTAGGTAAAAGTTTTCCCCTGACATTAAGTCCAGTCGTGTCCGACTCTAGGGGTTGGTGCTCATCTCCATTTCTAAGCCAAAGAGCCGACGTTGTCTGTAGACACCTCCGAGGTCATGTGTTCATGACTGCATGGAGCACAATTAGAATCTGTAGCTGTTCCTTATCACATGACATCATGATATTCCGAGCACTAGTATGTATTACAACTGTTATTGTGGCACACCTTCTACTGCGAAAAACCACCAATAGCCCCCAATATCACTGCTTATCCACTACTGTCCAAGATGCAATAGGCCCCGCAGTTCCAAAACTTTCAGCATCCATGTGGGAAAGTGAGGGCTGCTTTCTTCCTCTCCCCATATTTTTCCCCAAGATGGGCTACACCAGTCATCATCTAGTGAACAGAGGCAACATCTGATGAACATGGCACACTTAAAAATATTCTCCTCAGCTCAGTTCACTAGTATTTTTTTAAAAAAATGATTAGAATATTAAAATACAGAATGAAGGATTATTATGATAACAGCCAAAATTGTAATTGCACAATTCCATTTCAAAACCAGAATCCCCCAAAAGTTGTCTGCACTGGAAAGAGCAAACAATAGAAGGAAGGGAGGGAGGGAGGGAGGGAGGGGGGAGGGGGGAGGGAAGGAAGGAAGGAAGGAAGGAAGGACAGAAGAAGTGGTCAATGATGCAATGTTGAATACTGATTCTGAGAACTTTCATAACCAAAGGAGAAGGTGCAAAAAAAGGAAATGCAATGCCAGTATATTTTTGTTTCATTTAGATACATTATTGCTGCAATAAAAAAGGCTTGAGTGATAAAGTCCTAAGAGGAATTCCTATAATAAACTTTATTTTCCTTTCCTCTCAACTGTCTTTGCTGCTTAATCAAGTACTGCACTTCCACATATAACTCTGACATCTGTACCATACCCCAAACCCAGGATATGGATTTTGGGTTGAAACAATTACACCAGTGAACTCTAGTTCCTGCTTTGATATGATATTCTTGATCACATCACAACTATGCTGTTTCAGTGCATCTGAAACAATTATTTTGCAGACCAACAACTCATGATTTGAGGAGCTATTGGGAATAGCATAGAAATGTCCCAAATGAGATGGATCTGCTACTGAATTTGGTGTCTACCGTAAAGTTTTCTTTCTCCCTATATGTTGTATGTAGTAATAATTGCTCTATGTTTTATTTTTCTCTGTAATTCCATTTTATATCTGGCTACAGCAGGGGTCCTCAAACTAAGGCCCAAGGGCCGGTTAAGGCCCTCCAAGGTCATTTACCCAGCCCTCGTTCAGGGTCAACCTATGTCTGAAATGACTTGAAAGCATATAAAAGCATACAACAACAACAACAACAACAACAACAATCCTATCTCATCAGCCAAAAGCAGGCCCACACTTCCCATTGGAGTACTAATAGCTTTATATTTGTTAAAATTGTTATTCATTGTAATTATTGTATTGTTTGAAAGTGTTTTTTGCACTACAAATAAGATATGTGCACTGTGCATAGGAATTCATTCATGCTTTTTTCAAATTATAATCTGGCCCTCCAACAGTTTGAGGGACTGTTTAAAAAAATTGAGGACCCCTTGGCTACAGCATGCAAATGTGGGAAATATATATCAATATGGCGTGTTTACTATGAAGACCCCAATGTTTTTATTCTGGAGGAAAAACAGTTTTCCTAATCAAAACACAATCACGTATTACACACAGTACAATATCATAATATAGGGATAGAGGTAATGCTACTACACATCCTAGCGGACAAATTAGAAGGAGTCAACACAGAGGTGCCATTTTTTGTATTAATAAACAAAATAATGGTTGCTCAGAAAACCTGCAGTTCCAGTAAATAAAAACCAGAGGCCAAAGAAGTTGTGGGATTAGCTCCATTTATTTAGTTTTGAAAATAGATATATTTAAAAATAGATATGATAGGATAACTGAATTATTCAAAGAGAACCAGTCATTCCCTCCCTTTTTTTCTTGATTGCATTCTGATGTTGTCACACTTACTTTGAACCAAAAGTGTATGCAAAATCACCAAACAGGAAAACATTTCTCAATATTCATCAATAAAATTGGAAATCACCCACAGGAATTTGATTACATTCCGGTCTCAGGATGTCTGTTTTTTTGCTTTTTTATAACACATATTGTTATGCCTATAATGGCACAGATAATAACTACAGCAGCACAAACTGTGATTGTAATTATGATGGCTGTATTTAACAGTGTGTTATTGTTTTCATTATTAGAATGCGTAGTGTTATTTAACACTGTGTTATTGTTTTCATTATTAGAATGCGTAGTGTTATTTAACACTGTGTTATTGTTTTCATTATTAGAATGCGTAGTTTTACCACCAGATGGAATGTGGGAAGTGCTGTGTGTAGTTTCAGCTGGGCTAGGAGTACTTGGCAATGGAGCAAGTAGCAGAACTGCTCTAGCGATATTAGATGCTTCTCCCACATTGCTGCAGTTATCAATGGCACGGATAGCAAAGTAGATGGAGGTGCCATTTTCTTTGGAGAAAGTATCTGGCTTATACTGAAAGGATTGATGGGTCCCAGCAGCTTCTGGTACCAGGCCAGATGTATTCACAGAGGTGGCATTATCAAAAGTAGCATTTCTTAACTCCAAAGGGTTTTCACTCATTTTGATTTCATATTTTTCAGCTGCAAAATAAAAACAACAAGTGGTCATTAAAATGTGTTTAGCTATGGTTCAAAACTATCAGTCATAATAGGGACAGCTCAAAATACTTTATTGTCAAAACTGAATGATGAGATACTACCACTATTCCATTCCTTATACAGAAATTGTTGGATTTTATATCAAAAACTGGTGACTAGAGAGCACCTGAAGGCACCAGGCTAGTTTAGGGCTTGCAAGGCAAACCACACGGCATATGTAGCAGCTCTGTCTTCAAAGAGTTTGCCATCATTTAGCATTCCTCACACCCACTCCAGATCTGCTATCTCGGTGACTGTCTTGTTCTGCCTAATGAAATGACTACCCTTGAGGACTTTTACACGCAAGACTGCTAAATCGCAATTACAGAAAGATAGTAGTTTATTTCGCTGGTATTTATCAGACAAGCCAGTGGCATAATGGGTGCCGGCAAGACTGCTGACCGACAGGTCAGTGGTTCAAATTGGGGGAGAGCGGGTTGAGCTCCCTCTGTCAGTGCCAGCTCCCCATGCGGAGACATGAGAGAAGCCTCCCACAAGGATAGTAAAAACATCAAACATCCAGGCATCCCCTGGGCAATGTCCTTGCAGACAGTCAATTCTCTCACACTAGAAGCAGCTTGAAGTCGGTCCTGACATGAAGAAAAAAAATCAGACAACATTTTGCCTTCCCTATGGCTGCTTTGCAGCTCAATCTTTAGTGGAGTATCTCTGTTGATTGATAGGAGACAGCTTTAATTCTAAACTCTTATACAACATGCCCCCAATATTCACTGGAGTTAGTGGCACAGGTTCTCCAGCAAGAGTGGAAAAAGCACAAATAAAAATGGCTATTTTTTTTAAAAAAAATCTGAAAGAACACTTTTCTAGGAATTTCTGGAGATGAAGGCCATAGACATGTTCTGTCTAAGAATCCCTACATCTTCCAACAAAATTCTATGGTCAACTTTTGCCATACATTGACCATAGAATCACACTGGAGACCCTTTATATTCCCATATAGGCCATATTAATCAAAACCATAAAGTTAAACTCACAAATGTGGAGAGCCAACTGTAAAATCCTTTCAGAGAATAAACAGAGCATACTGCAAAACACACCCACAGACACATACAAATTAGCTATGGGAGGAAATCCATTTGACAAAATCTTGAACATATTCAACTGGTGGTTTGAATTTATATTTTTCACAGAAAAATGTTAATATTTCCCTAGGATGATAAAAATAATAAAGGATGAGGTCTGGTAAAATAAAACTACTTATGTGCTTTTCTTATCATGATTGAAAGAAGACAGCTCATCAGAAGAACCAAGAAGAATCCTTTCCTTTAAGCAACATTTCACCTACCTGTTCCTGAATCCAAATCGTCCCCAGGAGCCGTCCAGGACAAAAGGAATTCCCCATCCTCATTGAGTTCTACCTCAAGATCAGTGATTGCACTTGGTGGGAAGGCATCCCCAGGAACTCCAGGAGGAACTCCAGACATGACGAAAGATCCTCCTGATGCTGTTCTGCTGAAATTTCCTAGGTTTGCTTGCGTTTCATCTTCACTAGGCTCAGGTCTTGGTGAGTTCATTTTTATTTCACCTAAGGGCAATTTTTTTTAAGAAGTACACTTCAGTGTATGCAATTGCAAATCTCCAATTGTTTTTATTCATCTGTTAATCAATGTATTTCCATTTATTTATTTATTTATTTATTTATTTATTTATTTATTTACTGCATTTGTTGACCGCCGTTCTCAGCCCTAGGGCGACTCACGGCGGTGTACAACATATAAAAACAGTTTACAATAGACAATATCACAACAAAATCAACATAACAATCAATAATACAATTACACTAAATCATCAATTGTCTTTTCTTGTAGGGGTTGGAAGTTAGCTTCAATGGCATCTTTAATTTAATTCTGTGAACACAGATGTGGGTGTGTTTTGTTAGAATGACTGGTTCTGATAGTCCTCAATTTCTGGCCAATATATGATAAAGGTCAAGACATTTCTAGGAAAGACCATCTCTTGTTGCCCCTTCTGTCTGGTGTTTTCATTTCAGCATTTCCCATGTATAAAGTAGGCTTTGGTGAGAAATCTGTGGCCCTCCAAATTATATTGCAATCCAACATTCAGCAGTGCTAGTTCTTATACCCAGTGGCTGGGCCGATGAGAAAATAATGGTTAAATTCATTCTCGTGGCGTATAATTTAACCTTTTTTCCCCAGCTGCCAAAAAACAAAACAAAAAAGCCCAAAGTCAAGCTATTTTTGAGGACTATTCATAGGATATCTTCTGTGGAAAAAATCCACACAGGTTTTTGGGCTGCTGGCCTATTTGCGTGTGGAGAGTCAAAAACCACATGAACAATTATTTCAGCCAGCCAATTTTTTTGTTTGTTTGGGCTGAGAAAACCCCTCTTGAAGTTCATAAATGGAAGACTTGGTCAGTTTTACAGTTTTAACTTTCTGGTTGGAGAAAGCCATTTTCTTTCTGGCACTGAAAAAATTTAGGCAGGGCAGAAGTAAAATATCAAACCATAGGAAAGTTTGAGATTTTGGCTGTCTGCCATCCTGCTTTTCCTGCTCCTTACCTCGGGACGGGCAGAAGGAGGCTCCGCCAGACAAGGAGGTGCAGGAGGAGGGGGCAAGAGCAGAAACTGGGACCTGCCAAGCACATCACTGCTACTCAAAGGCTTGCAATGTCACCATCATTTAGTTTGACTGTGATCCCACTTTAACTGCCACTACTCAGTGCTATGAATTCTGTGAGTTCTAGTTTTACAGGGTCTTCTGTATCTGTCTCGTGGGTCCTGAGTGGTCATGAAGTCCCAGGGATCATAAGACATTATATAGTATTGTTGTGCTGACTCAAGTCATAGGCGGAGGAAATGAGTTATGACCATAGTTCTGCTAGTAGACCTGGAAATTCCTAGGAAATGCCTCTCTACAAATCTCTTTTGGCATAACTCTGTGGACCACATTTGTTGTTCTCAGATAAAAGTGTATTTATTTTCTCACTTTCACATGGTGTTCTGTGGGGATATCTTTGGGTTAATGACTCAAATGTTCTGAAACTTGATTGGCTTGCTTGCATTGGTAAATGTGTCCCAAGTATTGCCACCATCCCACCCCACTCCACTCCAGCCAACCTTAGCAGCTAAAAATATTTAATTTATTTATTTTTAAAATTAATTCTCGAAATAAATAAACAAATAAATAAATAAATAAATTTTAGCTGCTATGGTTGAGTGGAGTGGAGTGCGGTGGGATGATGGCAATACTTTTTGTAAAAATCTTTTAAAAATCCAAAAAAATCAATAGATGAGTGAAACATTCTAAAACTTGGGGGTGGGTAACAGTGGCAAATGTGTTCTACCATTGTAGCAAGTTTCACCCCAATAGCTCTAAAAATGAGGGGGAAAGGAGCCCTGGAAGCTCCTCCATGTGCACAATTACTTAACAAAATAGTAACAAAAATTGGTTACTTCCTTATAGTAACTAAATGGAGCCCTTACAATATTTCAGAAACATTTCAGAAACGATTCGCTGACACTCCTTAATTTAGTAATGAGTACTGAAACATTTTTTTCATTGATCACACAGACCTAGAAATTATAGGTTGAGCATAACTTATCCAAAATGCTTGGCACCATAAGTGTTTGGCATTTCAGATATTTTTCAGATTTTGGAATACCTGTACTTGCATATATGTACAGCATGAGATATCTTGGAAATGGGACTTGTCTGAATATGAAATTCATTTATACACCTTATACACATAATCTGAAGGTAACTATAAACAATCTCGCAAATAATTTTGTGCTTGAAACAATGTGTCAGGACATTGCACCACCAAAAAACAACTATGTCGCCATCTCAGCCCCGCCATGTAGCTAATTTTTGAATTCTGAAGTATTTCAAAATTTGGATCTCTGGATAAGTGATGCCCCACCTGTACTATGTCTTCCAAAAATAAAGTGTGCATAAAGGCATATTTATAAAAGTGTGCTCAACCTTTTTAAAAAAATCAAGATATATACAAATAAAAAGGATAGAGCACATTCCATTCACTTCCACTGTAGCCTCATTTGTAATCACACTACCATAAGGTCATACAATGTTATTCAGATACTCAGTTTACAGTTTGTTATACATTTGCAATTTGTTTCAAAGACGTAATGCTATTTTATAATTAATTCTTACCATTTTCTACATAACCCGGTATGTACAGAGCTTGACTCCACCTGCGAACCCTTCTGACAGTGTCGCCTTTCCCTTGGACACGTATTTTGATATTGTACCTTCCATTTTCTATGAACTTCGTGAAATATCTTGAGTAGATTCCATCAAGTCTCTGAATATCAGCTCCTTAATACATAAATATTGAGAATTAGCATCAAAAACAGACATCTTACTACTGCTCTTTTAAAACAAACCCATGCTAAATTGTAGATACAGTTAAACTGAATCAAAATAAATGTGTGTGTGGAAGATCTATACATCTTGTGACCCACAAATGCAGTTTTATACATCTAATTTATGCAAAGACAGCATCATTTGCTAATATTAAAATTGCCAGAGATGAATATTTCACTCTGGGTTAAATGTATATATTAAAAGCTAAATTATTTCTTTGTTTAAAGAAGACATATATTATTTATTTATTTATACCCCTCTTTATCTCCCCAAGGGGACTCAAAGCGGCTTGACATAAAAGCATTAGTATACAATTTAAAATATACAAAAATGCAAACATTAAAATAGAATTAAACACATATAGCACTAAAAATAAGTGAAAAACCATCAAAACAACAGTAAAAACCACAGCATCCCCGACTAGTTCTTAAACACCTTCATCTTTAAAAATCTGCCTGAATAAAAAGTTTTTCACCTGCCGCTGAAAGGATAGCAGAGAGGGGGGCCATTCTGACTTCCCTGAGTAGGGAGTTCCAGAGTCATGGAGCAGCCACCGAGAAGGCCCTCCCTCTCGTTCCCACCAACCCAGCTTGAGATGGAGGTGGGACCAAGAGAAGGGCCTCTCCTGAAGATCTCAGGGCCCTGGGAAGTTTGTACAAGGATATGTAGTCAGCCAAATAGCCTAGACCTGAACTGTCTAGGGCTTTAAAGGTCATAACAAGCACTTTGAATTGTGCTGGGAAACAGACTGGCAGCCAGTGGAGCTGCTGCAGCAGGAGGGATTGTCCTCTTCCTGTAGCCAGCCCCAGTGAGCAACCTGGCTGCAGCTCTTTGGACCAGGTGAAGTTTCCAAGCACTCTTCAGAGACAGTCCCATGTAGAGCGCATTACAGTAATCCAGACAGGATACAACTAAGACATGTACCAATGTGGCCTTGAGATCAGGCTTCTCAAGGAATGGGCATAGTTGGCACACAAGTTTTAATTCTGCAAAGCCCCCCCCCCCCCCCAGCCACCACAGATACCTGGGCCTCCAAGTTCAGTGCTGAGTCCAGGAGGACACCTAAACTGCACACCTGTGTCTTCAGGGGGATCCAGCACAGGCTGGATCTTTATTCCCTGATTTGTCCTCTGACTGACCAGGAGTACCTATGTCTTATCTGGATTAAGTTTCAATTTATTTGCCCTCATCCAGTCCATTACTCATGACAGACAGCTTCCTTGGCATTAGGTGTCATCTGCATACAGGTGGCACCATACTCCAAAACTCCGGATAAGCTCTCCCAGTTGTTCCATGTATATGTTAAACAGCATGAGGGACAAAATGGACAGTGGCCAGGAGTTCAAACAGGAGTCCTGAAGTACCACCTTCTGGGTACGGTCCTTCAGGAAAGACCGGAGCCACTGTAAACCAGTGCCTCCCAGACCCATCCCAGCAAGACAACTCAGGGGAGCATTTATTTGTTTTATTATTCATCTTTATCTTGGTTCTTTGCACTACACATGCCCAAGCAATCTTGGCAAGCAAGCCATACATGCTATCAGCCACAACATACACATCAGCAGTGCAAAATAAAATACACAAACTGTAGTTGAAGAACTCTGGCAGACAGAGGCCTCAAAAACACAGTTTGGCTTTTCCTAATATAGTGGTATCCACTGGGGATTGATTCCCAGACTCTCATGTATAACAAAATCTAAGGTGCTTAAGTCTCATAATATACAATGGTGCAATAAAATGGTGCCCCTTATATAAAATAGAAATATCAAGATTTACTTTTTGGAGTTTTTAAAAATATGAGTGTTATCTGGAAAGTTAGGTTACAAGGCACATAGCTCTCATGGGGGATTTTCGCAAGGGAAGTTGGTATTACTGCCATGTAGCGGGAATAGGAAGGACAAGAGACCTCTTCCAGAAAATTAGAAACATTGGAGGTAAATTTCAGGCAAAAATTGGTATGATAAGAAACAAAGATGGCAGGGACCTAACAGAAGCTGAAGAGATCAAGAGGAGGTGGCGAGACTATACAGAAGATCTGTATAGGAAGGATAATAATATTGAGGATAGCTTTGACGGTGTGGTGAATGAATTAGAACCAGACATCCTGAGGAGTGAGGTTGAATGGGCCTTAAGAAGCATTGCTAACAACAAGGCAGCAGGAGACGACGGGATCCCAGCTGAACTGTTTAAAATCTTAAAAGATGATGCTGTCAAGGTGATGCATGCCATATGCCAGCAAATATGGAAAACACAAGAATGGCCATCAGACTGGAAAAAATCGACGTATATCCCCATACCAAAAAAGGGAAATGCGAAAGACTGCTCCAACTTCCGTACAGTGGCCCTTTTTTCTCATGCCCGTAAGGTAATGCTCAAGATCCTGCAAGGAAGACTCCAGCAATACATGGAGAGAGAGTTGTCAGATGTTCAAGCTGGGTTTAGAAAAGGCAGAGGAACGAGAGACCAGATTGCTAATATCCGCTGGATAATGGAGAAAGGCAGGGAGTTTCAGAAAAACATCTATTTTTGCTTCATTGACTATTCTAAAGCCTTTGACTGTGTGGATCATAATAAATTGTGGCAAGTTCTTGGTGGGATGGGCATACCAAGCCACCTTGTCTCTCTCCTGAGGAATCTGTACAAGGACCAAGTAGCAACAGTAAGAACTGACCACGGAACAACAGACTGGTTCAAGATTTGGAAAGGCGCATGGCAAGGCTGCATCCTCTCACCCAACCTTTTTAACTTGTATGCAGAACACATCATACAATGTGCGGGGCTGGATGAATGCAAAACTGGGGTGAAAATTGCTGGAAGAAACATTAACAACCTCAGATATGCAGATGACACCACTCTGATGGCCGAAAGCGAGGAGGAGCTGAGGAGCCTTCTAATCAAGGTGAAAGAAGAAAGCGCAAAAGCTGGGTTGCAGCTAGACATCAAAAAAACCAAGATTATGGCAACAAGAATGATTGACAACTGGGAAATAGAGGGAGAAAATGTGGAGGCCGTGACAGACTTTGTATTTCTAGGTGCAAAGATTACTGCAGATGCAGACTGTGGCCAGGAAATCAGAAGACGCTTACTTCTTGGGAGGAGAGCATTGTCCAGTCTCGATAAAATAGTAAAGAGTAGAATCAGACTGGCAACAAAGATCCGCCTAGTCAAAGCCATGGTATTCCCTGTAGTAACCTACGGATGTGAGAGCTGGACCTTAGGGAAGGCTGAGCGAAGGAAGATCGATGCTTTTGAGCTGTGGTGTTGGAGGAAAGTTCTGAGAGTGCCTTGGACTGTGAGAAGATCCAACCAGTCCATCCTCCAGGAAATAAAGCCCGGCTGCTCACTGGAGGGAAGGATACTAGAGACAAAGTTGAAGTACTTTGGCCACATCATGAGGAGACAGCAAAGCCTGGAGAAGACAATTATGCTGGGGAAAGTGGAAGGCAAAAGGAAGAGGGGCCGACCAAGGGCAAGATGGATGGATGGCATCCTTGAAGTGACTGGACTGACCTTGAAGAAGCTGGGGGTGGTGACGGCCGACAGGGAGCTCTGGCGTGGACTGGTCCATGAGGTCACGAAGAGTCGGAGACGACTGAACGAATGAACAGCAGCAGCAGGAAGCCAGCAGAAGCAAATGAGCAATGGCAGTTGTCAGTAACTCATCGACTAGCGTTGTGGTGAAGGTTAGAGATGAGCGTCCTCATTCTGTTTCCCTTCTGTCTGTCTCCTTCATGACAATGCACGTTCACACACCGCTCATCCAACACAAGAGTTTTTGATTTCATTTGGTTGGGAAATCACCCCTCTGTGAGAGGCCACCCCTCTCACAGCCCCAACCTCACACCCAGTTACTATCATCTGTTCACTAAACTGAAGGAACACCTTGGTGGAAAACACTTTTCCGATGACAACAAGGTGAAAATTGAAGTGACAAACTGGCTGAAAAAGGCAGCGGGAGACTTCTATGACACGGGCATAAAAAAACTCTTTGCACAGATGAAAAAAATGTATTGAACTGATTGGTGATTATGTGGGAAAATAATGTAATACCTATACTATAATCCATGTAAGTTTTATTAAAATATATTCATTCTTTGTATTTTAAAAAAATCTTGTAACCTTACTTTCTGGATATCCCTTACAAGCTGTGGGTGGTTGAATCCATGTGTACAGAATCCATGGATATAGCCAACCAACTGTAATAGGTTATCTCCCATTCCTTCAGTTGGTTTATATCTGCCTGTAGAAGTATATATTTTCAGTATCTAAGTAAGTTTTGAAAAGCAAATATCCATGGAAATTATAAGTTGCACAATACCATGACTATATTAAGATAAACTTACCTGCACCATTGTCATAAAGCTCTAACTCTGTAGATGTCCCAGATGCAGATTCAACTGTGGCCGTGACATTTGCTCCAACAACAGGCAAGAACCCTTGGCTGACTTCTGCGTAAATAACTATTGAGCTAGGAAAGGTGTTGCTTTCTCTGTTCAGATAGGACTTCACAGTCACTGGAGGCACATTTTCAGAGGCTGCTCTGCTGGTGACTGTTATGGAAAGGACTTGGTAAGCCGTGTGTGTGTTCTGAACAGAATAAGTCCAATCTCCTGGCTACAAATGAGAATATTTAAAGAGTTACTTGTAGAATCTCTGAAAATAACTGGTCTGCCATACTGCTTTCACATTAATTATAAAATTCATTACCAGTTCCAGTGCCATCAGCTCTATATGGTAGCCAATTGCTATTTTCTAGAAGAAACAGGCACAGTCTTAATTTTTGTATTTTTAAAATACACAGGGCTAAAACCAGCATGATTTAAGTACATGGTGGTGGTTTGAATACTGGATTACGACTCTGGAGACCAGAGTTCAAATCTCCACTCAGCTATGGAAATACATTGAGTGACCTCTCTCAGCTTTAGAGAAACACAAAGGCAAAACCCTTCTGATCAAGAAAACCCTGCGATAGGGTCACCATACATCAGAAATGACTTGAAGGTACATAACAAGAAGGCAGGGGAGGGTAAATTGTAACCTGTATACAGTCCACAAGGCCATCTTGGGGGTTTCCCAGAGTCAATATTCAGCACCCTCTAATTTATTTAGAAAAGAATATTACCCATGTTTTATAATTTTATATTTAAAATATCCCATGTGCCCCCTGGAAGGCATGGAAAATAATTTTGTTATGTTTTAGGATCTACCTTGGAAATGTTGAAGAGCAGGAGAGTACTTTTTCAGTCAGAAAGTTTACATCCAGTTAACTTTCTGTTTGGAAGAAGGCCCCACCTAAACTAAAACACCCCAAGGGAGTGGACTCAGAATGCAGGGAAATTTTCCCATTTCCAATAAGAGGGCATTTTTAGTGTTCACCCTCCAAAAAAGAAAGTACAATAGAGGATGGAGTTCTCCAAGGTCCTCTGAAGGGACAAGGGAGGTCACCAAACCACAGCAGTTTGCACATGCAAGGTAACCTGTCCCCCAGCCCAAATACAAGGTGCATGACACATACAGATGGAATAACAAGGCCACAGCTTGATTATTGATTACAGCTGACCTAGAGTTGGCGGACACACATGGGTCCTGGATAGCTGAATCAGGGGCCTCCTTCTGGACGTGTCTGGAGGGGACACCCAGACTGAAGGAGAGAAGATAGTGGGGAGTAGTGCAGGCTCCTGTTCATCGCTGCTCTGGGCTTCTTGTTCTACCAGCTCGCCACAACATAGTACTGAGATCCTTCAGCCGAGTGAGAAAGATCAATTACTGGATCCAGGACACATGCCATCCACCACCAAGTTGTGACATGAGCAAAAACAAACAACAGCAACAACCAAGAACAGAGGGTGGGAAGCACGGGAAGGTAACTGAGCTGGGGAGCAGCCAGGCTGGCTATATATAGCCAGTAGGCAGACCAGAATGAGGAGAGCTTCACTCCAGTTTGCCAAGGAGAAACCAGTCAAATTGGAACCTGGAGGTTCACTCTGATTGGTTTATGCTCACATGCCCAGGAAAGAGCATGGATGCATGGTGGTTCTGGAAGGCAGAGAGTGTGGGCGGGGGAGCACCTATAGCAGCAATCTCCCTGCCTGGTAAGTCAAGCAGCGCATTTCCCACTCCAGTCTAATGTTTTTACCTCCGCAGTTCCATTGATCTTAAGTCGAGCTGTTCCAAGGGTGGTGCTCTCAATTGTAAAGTCTGTGTGAGTGTATCTTCTCCCTTTGGGATCTTTCAGTAATATCCCTGGTGGATAAATGGCTGGACTCCAAGTAACAACAAAGAAAGTATCATTTCCCACAGTTGGATCAATGGACACGATACCGTCCAGCCACTTGAAGGGACTGATGTTTTGTGCTTTACTTTCAAGCTGTTGAAAATGGTTAAAAGAATACTTTGATACTCTAGAAAAATAAATGTATGTACTATAACAGATATACACGATTAATCTCACAGTGTAGAAAGGTCAGTACAAGTTGAGTCTCTACTATACTTGGTACTAGAAGTGTTCTGTATTTCAGACTTTTTTCATATAAATAATAAGATATCTTGGAGATGGGATCAAAGATGAAACAGGAAATCCATGTTTGTTTCCTATACACCTAATACGCATAGCATTTTAGACATTATTTTTTAATAATTTTGTGTATGAAGCAAAGTTTCTGTACATTGAACTGTCAGAAAGCAAATGTGTCTGTCACTATTTCAGTCACTAATGTGGATAATTTTATATTTTGTATCTCAGAATTCTATCTAAGGGATGCTCAACCTGTATATTGTCTAAATGGACACTGTGGTATACGAAAGTATTTCATAAATGCATTCATAAATTTTAGTATGGGCATGAAGAGAGTTGTCGCGCACCATACAGATCTTGGTGGTCCGGTGGTGATAAGACTAATATCTTACCACATCACATGGCTTAACACAACTAAGTTATGGAGCTACTGCAAGTAACCGATAGCCACAGAGAAAGATATAAACCTGTCTTGCCTGAAACAGGAGTAGACATGCCTAGCCCCTCTTCTTAGCATATAAAACATTTTAGCACACTTTGAGAAGTGTGTTAACCTTAGAACAGCTGCAGGGGCAAAACTTCTCCCAATCTGTGCATTGCCTGTTTTCATATATGTCTCCCCATTTTAATGTAAGAACTGTGAAACTCTAAGAGTCCAGAGGTTCAAAGCTTCACACCTCTATGCTTCCAAATTTACACAATATTGAAGCTCTGTTTATATGCAGACTTAACAAATAGAGAAAAAATGAATTATCAAGATCAATCTGAGATAGGTCTTATGAGCACACAGAAAGAATTCACTAAAGAGCAGCCATTGCAGTTCATTCTGGATTGAAACCATGGTTCTGAGGAAAAACTTCTGAATGCAACGTCCTTGAGAATCCTACAACCCAATTGTCTATTTTCTGTGTCTAGAACAACTAAAAAAAACACGAAGCATTTGAAGTGACAATTTAACTAAGCAGTAGAACATATATAATTAAATACTAATGCCAGAATAATCCAAACCATGGTATTTCCAGTATCTATTTATGAGTATGAAAACTGGCTAGTAAAGAAAGCTGAAATCAGTATGACGCTGAAGAAAAATTGTGCAAATACTATGGGTTCATAAAAACTTGAACCGGTTCTTGGCTGCTGTGTCGGACTGAATGAGAGGTAACAAATTGAAATTGAATACAGACAAGACAGAGGTCCTACTGATCAGTTGTAAGGCCGAACAGGGCATAGGGTTACAGCCTGTGTTAGATGGGGTTACACTCCCCCTGAAGACGCATGTTCACAGCTTGGGAGTGATCCTGGACTCATCGCTGAGCCTGGAATCCCAGGTCTTGGCGGTGGCTGGGAGAGCTTTTGCACAATTAAAACTTGTGCGCCAGCTGCGCCTGTACCTTGGGAAGTCGGATCTGGCCACAGTGGTCCACGCTCTTGTTACATCCCGAATAGATTACTGCAACGCACTCTACATGGGATTGTCTTTGGAGACTGTTCGGAAACTTCAATTAGTCCAGTGGGAGGCAGCCAGATTACTCACCTGAGTGTCATACAGGGAGCATACCACCCCTCTGCTATGTCAGCTCCACTGGCTGCCGATCCAGTTCCAAGCACAATTCAAAGTGCTGGTTTTGACCTACAAAACCCTATACGGTTCCAGCCCAGCGTATCTGTCCGAACGCATCTCCCTCTACGTCCCACCTCGGAGTTTAATATCTTCTGGGGAGGCCCTGCTCTCGGCCCCGCCTCTATCACAAGTGAGATTGGCGGGGACGAGGAGCAGGGCCTTCTCGGTGGTGGCCCCTCACCTATGGAATTCACTCCCTGGGGAAATTAGATCATCAACATCCCTCCTTTCCTTTAGAAGGAAATTAAAAACATGGATTTGGTACCAGGTGTTTGGGCAATCTGGCAGATAAATAAAGGATAACGACGACTGATAGGAATGGACAATGTGGAATGAAGTTACGGACTCTGAGTTGGTGAACATTGAGCATGAAATTGGTTTTATTGACTGTGATATATATTAATTGTTTTTAACTGTTATAACTGTTTTAATTGCTGTCTATATAGGTTTACTTGTATTATTGTGCAGGCATCGAATTGTGCCTTTTGTAAGCCGCCCTGAGTCCCCCCTCGGGGGTTGAGAAGGGCGGGGTAGAAGTACACGAAATAAATAAATAAATAAAATAAAAAAGGCAAATGAATGGATCCTAAAGGAAATCAGTCATGAACTCTCACTATTAGTGAACACTGGACTGAGACTCATTGAAATGGACCATACTTCTTGATAGTAAACAACTAAAATAAAAACTTTAAAAATATTGTTTCAGATCTACAATAAACTATATCCAGTATCTATTTTCTTTGCTTCCTGGAGGTTTCCTTTGATCATTCAGACCAAACATGGATCCTAGATATTATTTAACTCTGTCCAGTGACTAGAAATTTTAGGCACCACTAGTAAACATCATACAAAATCACCAAGTTTCCTCCCAGATCTTTGAAATGCTGACCTGAATAGATTGCTGAGTGAGGTTTCCATCCGATGATGAAATTCCAGTGAAAGCATATATGAGGCCATTAGAATCCAAACTGTCAGTCGCAGAAAATTTCAGACCCCCTGAAACAGGATTGGAAAATTAATTAGAATAATCTCATGACTAAATATATATATATATAATAAAAGTATACTCAATTTAAAAACCTCTGACAAAGAAAATCCATTGTACTATGTGTCTTTATGCTCATGCAAGCCCTCTCGTTTTTCCTCCTGTATTCTAGTTGGCTTTGTAAAGAAGCATCAATATTGAGAAACACAAATCTGGGGTATTGGATGGTAGTGTCTCAACCATAAACAGTACAATAAAGCTTGATCTGGGAAAGAAAGGGGTCATATTTCAGCTGATCCAATTGTATCCATGTGTACCTGTCCATGATAGTCAAGGTAAACACCATCTGCCTCCAGCAAACAAAGAAAGAAGGGGAGACCATAAAAACATTCCTCCGAGCGGACAATTGTCACTCGATGAATTGCACAAAGATGCAACATGGTGATACGGAGGCTTCTTCTGTTTACATAAAGGGGTATATGTTTCAGAAATTGGCAGTGTAGATCCAGTCTGAGCTTCCTATACCTGAACAAGGCAAGAAATCTTGGCATCATTATGTCACCATAAGTTGAAATTTTTGTTGTTTATTCATTTAGTCGCTTCCGACTCTTTGTGACCTCATGGACCAGCCCACTCCAGAGCTCCCTGTCGGCCGTCAATCCAATCACTTCAAGGATGCCATCCATCCATCTTGCCCTTGGTTGGCCCCTCTTCCTTTTTCCTTCCATTTTCCCCAGCATCATTGTCTTCTCCAAGCTTTCCTGTCCTCATTCTGTGGCCAAAGTACTTCATACTTCCCTCCAGTGAGCAGTCAGGCATTTTTTCCTGGAGTATGGACGGGTTTGAACTTCTTGAGGTCCAAGGCACTCTCAGAATTTTCCTCCAACACCTCGGTTCAAAAGCATCTATCTTCCTTTGCTCAGCCTTCCTTATGGTTCAGATCTCACATCCATAGATTACTAAGGGGGATACCATTGCTTTAACTAGGCAGATCTTCATAATCTTGGGGTTTTTTATGTTTAACTGCAACCCAGCTTTTGCACTTTCTTCTTTCACCTTGATTAGAAGGCTCCTCAGCTCCTCCACACTTTCAGCCATCAAAGTGGTATCATCTGCATATCTAAGGTTATTAATGTTTTTTTCCAGCAATTTTAACTCCATCCTTGGATTTGTCAAGCCTCACTTAAATTTAATTTAATTATCATGAAATTAGTTTTATGACAAAAGCAGAAAATTCAAAATAATGGAAGAAACAGAAGGAACATGTTTTTAAAAGATGGGGTAAGTGAGGTTCATGGGATATGTTTGTGATCTTCAGAGTACAGAGCTCAACAGAATTAGAAGAATGTAAAATTTGGTCCCAAAATGTCATCAAAAGCTTCTATTTTGTTTTGTTTTGCTCTCCAGCTATTTTGGGCTCAAGAGTAGCCTTTTTGTTTAGCAGAAAATGACCCAGAACTTGTTCTTAAGATCACTTCCTGTTTGAAAAAGGGGTTCTTGAGTTAAAATGGCCAGAAAGAATCAAAACATGGCAAAGGTGTCCCCACTCCCTTTCATGGGCAGAAACCAAAAACATTTGGGCAAGCAATCTCACAAGCTAAGAGAGAGTCTGCAACAGTTTGCTTTTGCATGACCTTTCTGGGAAGGGCAAAATTCCATCCTTTCTCTTCTCTCCTCCATGGTGAATTAATTGAATGCAAACTACTTTTTCTCTTTGAACTCAGTTTGTCATAAGCTGAGGACAAATGGGAAAAGTGGAAAGAGGAGAGAGAAACTGGTGCATTTTCAAAGCAACTGAGAAACTGGGGGTGTCAGAGGACTAACCGGGACTTCCCTTTACAAATCAGGACAGTTGGGGGGTATTATGCCTTTGGGGCAATGGCAAGAAGCTTTGGGGAAAAATAGCTGGAAATTAGGATAATTGATCCTTCAAGATATCCTCAAGAATCAATGTAGTCCTCAATACCTGGCAGTTCCCACCCTTAGTGTGGATGAGCTTGGCAGTGTGATTGCTATTAGTGAAAAGTGAAAAGTTGCCACTATATAACACAGAAAAACATGACTTCAATATTCTGTTAACACACTTACCTGTTATATCTGCCAGTTTCTCTAGACCTATATCAGCACGTGGCCCCAAAGCAATGGTGTGAATTATCGACCCACTTGTATTAACAGCATTAAAACAAGAGGATATTGTTGAATCTTCTCCATCTGTCAAAAGCACAATTTCACAGCCTTCTGTACTTGCATATTTTTTCTTAAACACCTAGAAAAAAAAACAGCATTTTAAATTTTAGCAGCCGAACTACAAGAAAAAACATCGGCTCCACAGGCAGCTGTTTGGAACTCAAATTAGGACAGTTCTCTAGAAAGCTTTAATGATATTTGTGGGGATTGGGGGGGGGGGCTTTGTTTCTACATCAAATGTTGTTTATTCATTCAGTCGCTTCCAGTTCTTTGTGACCTCATGGACCAGCCCACGCCAGAGCTCCCTGTCAGCCTTCATCACCCCCAGGTCCTACAAAGTCAAGCCAGTCACTTCAAGGATCCCATCCATCCATCTTGCCCTTGGTTGGCCCCTCTTTCCTTTCATTTCCCCAAGCATCATTGCCTTCTCATTATGTGGCCAAAGTACTTCAACTTTGTCTCTAATATCCTTCCCTCCAGTGATCAGTTGTGCTTTCTTTCCTGGAGTATGGACTGGATGGATCTTCTCGCAGTCCAAGGCACTTTCAGAATTTTCCTCCAACACCACAGTTCAAAGTTTACCACTCAGCCTTCCTTATGGTCCAGCTCTCACATCCATAGGTTACTATGGGGAATGCCATTGCTTTAGCTATGCGGATCTTCATTGCCAGTGTGATGTCTCTACTCTTCACTATTTTATCAAGATCGGACATTGCTCTTCTGATTTCCTGGCTGCAGTCTGTGTCTGCAGTAATCTTTGCACCTAGAAATACAAAGTCTGTCATTGCACCCATATTTTCTCCCTCTATTTTCCAGTTATCAATCAGTCTGGTTGCCATAATCTTGGGTTTTTTATGTTTAACTGCAGCTCATCTTTTGCACTTTCTGCTTTCACCTTGATTAGAGGGCTCCTCAGCTTCTCCTCATTTTCAGCCATCAAAGGGGTATCATCTGCATATCTAAGGCTGTTAATTTTTTTCCCCAGCAATCTTAACTCCAGCCTTGAATTCATCAATCCCCGCATGTTGCATTATGTGTTCTGCTTACAAGTTAAATAGGTTGGGTGAGAGTATACATCCCTGACATATTCCTTTCCCCATCTTGAACCAGTCTGTTGTTCCATGGTCAGTTCTTACTGTTGCTTGGTCCTTATACAGATTCCTCAGGAGAGAGATAAGGTGATTTGGTATGCCCATCCCACCAAGAACTTGCCACAATTTATTATGATCCACACAGTCAGAGGCTTTATAATAGTCAATAAAACAGAAATAGATGTGGGTTTTTTTTTTAACTCCCTGCCTTTCTCCATTATCCAGCGGATACTGGCAATTTGGTCTCTCATTCCTCTGCCTTTTCTAAACCCAGCTTGTACATCTGGCAACTCTCTCTCCATGTATTTCTGGAGTCTTCCTTGCAGGATATTGAGCACTACCTTACTGGTATGTAAAATAAATGCCATTGTACAAAAATTAGAGTATTCTTTAGTGTTTTCCTTTTTTGGTATGGGGATATGAGTGATTTTTTTCCAATCTGAAGGCCATTATTGTGTTTCCATATGTACTGGCATATGGCATGCATCACCTTGACAGCATCATCTTTCAAGATTTTAAACAGTTCAGCTGGGATCCCATCATCTCCTGCTGCTTTGTTGTTAGCAATGCTTCTTAAGGCCCATTCAACCTCACTCCTCAGGATGACTGGTTCTAATTCACACACCACACCGTCAAAACTATCCTGGTCTAAGTCATATACATTTGGGGTAGTAACTACTCTGGGGTAGTTATGTATAGGGTTGTACTTTGGAGGTCCTCTTGGAAGAGCTTGTGTCATCAATGTGGAACAATCAACATTCCTCACGTGTTCTTGTAGGAGCTCTAAAAGTTTAGAAACTTGAAGGATCATCTGTTTAACATCAGCAATTATAGAATCACAAGTATCAGAAGAAGGAAACTATTTACTTTTTTGTAGCCTCCACCAACCCATGAGCTACTAAAGCACCCCTTAGAGATGACCAACAAAAGAGGGTCTTTCTGCTTTCAAGATAATCTGTTCACTGTAGAAAAACTTTTATCATTAAGATATTCGCCTTTAAATTGAGTCAGGATTTTCCTGTAATTTAAATCCAATCGTTAGGTACTATGTTTTGGGAGCTTGCCTATATTACTCCACCTTTGTTATTCTTTGAAAATGTTCCCATTTGTAAATGGGGTCATCCTGCATCCCTGCTGTTTTGCCACATAAGCTGGCAAAATGGTACCCCGGGGCGGAGGGGTCATCTATGTGATGAGGTCACAGGAGCAGTGTTCGAAACAACATGGTGACACAATTCATCATATTTTCTTGCCCTGTGCCCCTAGGAGAAATATGAGTTCAAACTCATTCTCTAAGATTTCTAATATACCATAATTGAATGATATTTCACCTCAAATCCTGCTGCCACTCCATTGCATATTATAGTTCCTCCACCTGCTGTAACTGGAAGATAGCCTGTAAGACTTTTACGCACGCTGTCATCAGTGATCTGTTGCAACCCAGTCTGAATTGTGGCTTTGGTATTGAATGTGACAATTCCAACCCAGGAGCCACCTTCAATAATCTGAAGGAGGAATATTTCTGCAGCTTGCTTCAGTCGAGCAACGCGTGCCTGTAAAGGAAGATGGAACAGAGGAGAATAGTGTCAGAATCAGGAAGAATCAGAAAAATAGCAAACAAAAATTACTGAAAGAAATATGTTCTTAACTATTGATTCTTGTACTTAGGAAATTTCCAGATGAATATAATGAAATATATCTGGATCTATAAACTGTGAATATCTCCAACAACTTCATCTGCATTGTCAGGAGCCACTGATAGCGCAATGGGTTAAACCCTTGTGTCAGCAGGACTGAAGACCAATAGGTCGGAGGTTGAAATCCAGGGAGGGTGTGGATGAGCTCCCTCTGTCAGCTCCAGCTCCCCATGAGCATAAACCATTGACTGCTAGTCTTAAAGTATTAATTCAACAATGTGTACTGGACCGTGCTATTTCTTCCTCCTATTGAAGAAGGTGGCTTTGCTGTGCAAATGATTACATAAGAACCAGTTTGAGACCCGGATGGTAATTAGAAAAACCACTGATACGCATTAGGACCTTTCTTTCACATGATTTTGTGGAAATCTGTTGTCTGCCACAGTTTGAAGCTAGCTTTAAACTGCATGAAATAGTCAGCATAGTTAGGGCCTAGGTAGCTTTGGAAACTGTGAGGAATTCTGATGGTACTTCCAGACAGGGCTTAAACCCACACAAAACCAAGTTTAAGAAACCCGCTTCAGCCATGCCATGCCCCCCCCCCCAAATAAAAATGGGCTTTCCTGGTGGAATGTTCCCATGGTATCCTGGTAATGACCAGGAAAGCATGAGGCCACCCAACCCCCTCCCTCCCAATAAAAGAAGAAATAACTTACCAGGCTGCCATTACCGTACTGCTAGAGTCTTCCTGGCGCATAGAAATGATGTGCCAGGAGATGGGGGGAGGCAGAAGCAAAATCACTCCCCCACAATCTCCTGGTGCATCTTTTCTACATCAAAGAAACACAGATATCTATAACAATAACAAAATACAAGTTGCAAACGGTTATCCAAATAGAACTATGTTAACATAAACCCTGTAAATACACTGCATATAAACCACACGAAGAAATTACAAGTCTTCCGAAACAAGGCAACCTCAACCCGGGGATTCTTATCGCATTATAATTTGGTTACTATTTTGAACTGGACAGCAAGTATTATAATTTGGATAATATTTTGAATTGGACAGCAATTTGAACTATTTGGACTTTATTTGGACTGCATTTTGAAGGCAGTTTACTTTTTCAAGGACTACGAGATAACCAAGTAGCACTCAGACTTGTAATTTCTTTGTGTGGTTTATATGCAGTGTATTTACACGGTTTATGTTAACATAGTTCTGTTTGGATAACAGTTTGCAACTTGTATTTTGGTATCTTTTCTACATACCAGGAGGACTCCAGCTGCACCTTAATGGCGACCCGGTAAGTTATTTCTTCTTTTAAGGGTATTTGGGGAGGGCCAGGGGGTTGGGGAGGGGAACACCATTTCACTCCTCTGGGTTTTTGGAAGCCCAAAAGAGCAAGATGGGAAATGTGGGGTCACCCCTGGATAGTTCTGGGTAGTTCTGAAACTACCAATGGGTGTGTCCCACAGGCCCAATACCCCACTAGACCTGAGCCTTTCAGAAATGCCCGGATCTAATGGGGCATAAAATTAATTCAGGATAAAGCAGGGTTTACCTGCTTTCTTTCAAATTAATTCACTTTTATCGTAGGCATCTTTTGGACGCCTCTGGTAAAAACCCGACAGGTCTCACATTTTGGGGCCTGTCTGGAAGGGCCTGAGAGTTACAATAATATCTGGAAGGATACAAGATCCACACTCTGATCTAAATCAATGGATCTCAATTATATAGAGGAAGTCAACCCCACTATATCTAACAGGTTAGGTTTCCCCCTGACATTGAGTCTAGTCACATCCAACTCTAACAAAATATACATTATATTACTAGGGTGCTGGCTCTGGACCAACAATTATATTATGACTTACCTGAGTTGTATCTTTTTGGTGCTAATTGTAAGCAAGCATTTACCAGAGAAATAGGGGGAAAGTAAACTTACCCCAATCATACTTCCAGAAACATCAAGCACTAAACACAAAACTCTGTCCCGTGTTTGCAGCAAGGAAATAACAGGGTCAGGTGGAGGAGCACTTAATGGGGACGAATGGTTAAAGTCAGTGGAGTCCATAATGACTTCCCATGTGCTGCTGTATTTGCACAGTTTGTTGTGCATATTTGTTGCATTAATATTATGGTTACTTTTGTCACAGAATCGAATGACCTGAATAAGTGATACAGAGAATAGGTCCAGATTACAATTTTTATCAAGCAATTCTTATAACCATACCTGTTTTATGAAATGTTGCAATTTAAGAATATAGCTGGAGGTAAGGAGATAAAATGAGGGCATTGGCCTTGATAAGAATTCTGCATCCCTAAATTAAATTATTCACAAGTCCCCAAATTTCTAGTTTTGCAGTAACTTAAAACATCAGTTCAGCATTTATAAATAGAGTTTAAACATCCAAGGAAAAGAGACAGGCAAGGTTACAAACACAGTAAATACAAGAGTACTAGGTGTATACAATTTATACTAGGTGTATACAATTTTCAATACTCTACTATCTAAAATATTAGAAATTTGGGAGTGGAAGGAAAACATCATTTTGGAATTTGTATTAGGGAAAGTAACATTCTCAATTTTCTCTGTTCCCTGGTACAAATGTCAGTATGTTCCATCATACAAAAAGGGCTGCAAGTATTTTTTTTTAAATTAGTCTTTAATTGTATATATATGTACTTACGTTTAGGAAATTATAAAGATGAATGTTGCTACACAAACCATGCTACCTAATGATCTGAAAACACACTTATAACTCCTTACTGTGTTATAAGGAGGCGCTAATGATGTTGTTTTTATTGCTTTTGTTGTGTTTTATATTGTTTTAATGTTTTAACCTGTATTATGATATTATGTGTACTGATTTGTTGTAAACCGCCTTGAGTCGCTGACTGGCTGAGAAAGGAGGCATACAAATACAAATATCATCATCTAAATCAGGAGCTGGGAGTAACTAGCCTTCCAGATGGTTTGGGTTGTAGTACTAAAATCCCCAGTCAGGTCTGGAGATTCATATGTGCAAAAAGATACCAAGGGGGATGAATGGATGGAGATATATATATATGCATGCTGCTATTGATATTAGACTAGATACAGATAGCAAATTCAGTTTTTCAATATAGATCCTCAGGTAGCAAAAAAAGCCAATCTTTATAGAAATTTTTGAAATTAAAATTCATTTTAATTAAGCTAAGAGGAAAGGACTACATGCTTATTGACAACAGATTCCTGATAGACATGTGGGGTGGCTGGAGAGAGGATTACTAGCGACTGGAATGCAATGAAGTGCCTAGGTGAAAGAGAGTGAAATTGTGGCTTTGGGATCAAGCCTTCAGAGAAGTGCAATAGAAGGAAATGGAATATGCACAATGACTATTGGAATGGCCCCGGATTACGATTGTGGGTAGCGTGGTTTTAATAATGCATTTAGTGTTTTCAACTGTTTTAATGTGTATTAATTTTAATCTTAATTTAAATGTTTATTTTAATTGTATGTTGTTTTTAAAGCATTTAATAGTTGCCTATGAGGAAAGCCACCTTGAGTCCCCTTCGAGGTTGAGAAGGGGGGGGGGGTATAAATATGGTAAATAAATAAATACATAAATCAAGAGTGACACTCACCACTAAAAATTTTTGTTAGAAGTTCTCCTGGACTTATCTACAAGTTCCTAAAATTTGATAGCACATTGTGCAGTATTGGAGTTTGCTGTCAAACAACATATGGTGAAATGCTGGAGAGCTAGTGAGTTACTGTTTTATTGTGACTGATGCACCCCTCTGAGCAACGTCCTTGCAAATGGCCAATTCTCTCATACCAGAAGCAACTTGCAGTTTCTCAAGTTGCACCTGACATGAAAAAGACTGATGCACCAAAACAAGGCTAACCAAAAACAATGGCTGTACATATTGTGGGACACAAATATTAGAAAGACTGAGGGTCCTGCATAATTTAATAGCCAGGAAAAATCGGCTCATGTGCACTGACAAAGGCAAACTTCTAGCTATGGTAACCATGACTTTATAGAGGATGATGGCCATATATTGGAGAAGGAGATGGGTAGTCATTATTATGGCTAGTGTGACCATGAGTGAGACAAACCATCTGTTACCAACAGAAATCAAATATTTCAGTTAATATGAGAAATTAGGGTGAGAGGGCAGTTTACTTGTGCAAAAAGAAAAAAAGAAAAAAAGGAACACACTACTCATTTCTATGGCATATTTTTAATGCTGCTTCGTGTTGCACTTTGACTAGCATGGAAGAGCCTTCTTATGTTATGGTAACCTAAATTTTGTTGTTTGATGAGACACCAGCATTTTTGGCCAAGAAGGCTAAAGGCTTTGTAAAACTACAATTCCCAAGATTCCATAACATTAAGCCATTAAGTAAATAGTGGCTCATGACTAGAAAAACCGAGAAACTGTTTACTATTTATTTATTTACTGATTATCCTCACCAAAGTTGCCAGCGACAAAAAGGTGGCATGCAGCCTTTTTCCTCAAAAAATAGGTTATTTCACAGAAACAGGAGTCAAACTAAGAAATCCAACACTCATAAGCCACAAGGAGAAGAAAAGCAAGACCAGAAATATCAAAATGGTGAGCACACTATTAAGAAAGCCTATTAAGAAATCCAACAAACACGGACAGACAATCAAGAGATTCTAACTTGAAAAGAAAGGAAAAGAAAAAGCAAAACTAGAAGCAAAGTATTCATAAAATGAATGGCAGTACTGTAGATTGAAATAAATGGGTATCTGTGGAAATAATGAGCAAAAACTTGGCATGTTTATTTCCTAGTCTCCAGAACCATGTTTAATTTGTCAAAATTAAATAAACAATATCTTATATTTTGGCTCAAATAAGGTCTGTTGCATTCCCACTGATATTAATTGTACTTACTGAAGGAAGACTTTGCATATACATTATAGAGGCTGGAACACTTTGCTGTTTATTTGGAATAAATTGACATCCAACTTCATAAAGCTGAGTCCGGTGATCAATTTTGCATTTTCTAGTCTTTCCAGTACTTGTTCTGAATATATATTGCCCAATGATATCAGATGAGCATCTAAACAATTAGAAACAAAGAGAGGTAGCCAGTCAAAACAGTTAAAATGATAACACTCTGAAATCAAGAATACTATTTTACTGTAGCTAAATCAAAGGGCATTCATTCAAAGAGGAGAAAGCACATTGTTAACAGTTGGTTGAGCCTGTTAACAATCGTGGTGAAAAGACATGGTCTTACAACTATTGTCTTTTGGTAAAATGATAACCTCTTATAACCTGGCACTCCATGAATACCAGATTATAGAAACATAATCAACAAAAAGATGCCTTGTGAAAGTTATATGTGAAACCTTATCATCTGCAGTCAATTGGATGTCTATTACTGATGCAATTTTGTATAGCTGATTATTCAGTCTGCATGCAATTTCACATGAAACAAAACAATCCTTGCTTTGGTGATGGTTTTTACACTAACTACTTCTACCGGTTAGAGATTCTTATTCAAATTTTTCTTATTCAAATTTTAACATTGAAGAAATTATTCACTCACTATGGCTTAAACAAGTATGTTGAAACATAAATGTTGAAAATCAGCCAATCAGATAAAAAGCAACCATCTTACAATACTACAAGGGTTATCTGGAAAGTAAGGTTACAATTTAAAAAAAAAATAAATACAAAGAATTAATGAATATACCCTATATACTCGAGTATAAGCCGACCTGAATATAAGTCGAGGCACCTCATTTTACAACAAAAAACCGGGAAAACAGATTGACTCAAATATAAGCTGAGGATGGGAAATGCAGCAGCTACTGGTAAATTCCAAAAATAAAAATAGATACCAATAAAATTGCATTAATTGAGGCATTGGTAGGTTAAATGTTTTTGAATAAATAAGACAACTGTCCTCTGATTAAAGCATTATTCTAACCTTCTTCAGTGTAAATGTGTTTACATATCCTTCCAATAATAAAGAATAAAATAATAAATGTAATAATAATAATAGAGTAAAATGATTAATGTAATAATAATAATAATAGAGTAAAATAATAAAAAAAACCTTGACTCGAGTATAAGCCGAGGGAAACTTTTTCAGCCTAAAAAAGGACTGAAAAACTAGGCTTATACTCTAGTATATACAGTATTTTAATAAAACTTGCATGTCTTGTAGCATAGGTATTACATTATTTTTCCACATAATCACGAATAAGTACAATATATTTTGTCATCAGTGTAAAGAGTCTTTGATGCCTGTGTCATAGAAGTTTCCCTCCGCCTTTTTCAGTCAGTTCGTCACTTCAATTTTCATATTATCATCATTGGAAAAGTGTTTTCCATCAAGGTGTTCCTTCAATTTAGTGAACAGATAGTCACTGGGTGCAAGATTGGGACTGTGAGAGGGGTGGCTTAAAACATCCCGACCAAATGAAGTCAACAACTCTTGTGTTGCATGAGCAGTGTGAGGATACACATTATGAAGGAGACAGACTCCTGCTGTCAGCATCCCATGATGGTGCTACAAAGTTTCTTCATGGTTTCACAATATATTCCATTTTGTCACATGTTGTCATGACATTACATCCTCTCCAAAAACTGAAATGATTTTGTGATGAATCACAGCAGCGTTCATGCCATTAGCACTTAGGTAGCATGTTACAGTGCAAACTTCTAATGTAGAGGGAAATGGAATTAGGATGCTCATCTCTAACCTTCACCACAACACCAGTCGATGAGCTACTGACGACTGGCACTGCTCGTTCGCTTCCGCTGGCTTCCGGCTTCACGGCAGTGATACCAACTTCCCCGTGAAAATTCCCAGTGAAAGCTACGTGCCTTGTAACCTTACTTTCCTGATAAGCCTTGTAAATCACAGATTAATTCCCAGCACACTTATTTATGCCATGCGCAAACTTGTTTATGTCATGCCCACAAAAACAGTGTCATTGGTTAAAGTTACACTTTTGTCGTAGTACCTTGTGGCTTCAGCCTTGTTGACTCCAGTAGTATAGAAAGGTGCATCATTATTGTATTCATCAAAGACACCCCATCTGAGATGAGCCCATTCATGGACTAGGACTCTTCCTATGGAAAATCCAGCCAAAGCAAATTTAGTAAAATACTATAATTTATTTAATTTGCAATATAATGGCTGACTTTCAGTAAGTGATAGGTATGCACACGCATGCATGCACACACATACGGAGCTTGAAAATCGTTGATTGGGAGGGAGGCAGAGCTACGCTCTGAAGTACAAACTTGGCCAATGTTGTCAAACAGCATGTCTAACATTCTCATTCCATTCCCAAAAATGTCTTTTAAAAAAGGAGATACTGGTCCAATCCTATTAAAAACACAGAAGTGATAATAGTGACAAACAACTTTTCAATATGATGGTTGTCGAGTTTGAAAAGTTAATGCATTCAGCTAATATATATGTACATGTATATATGAGTGTGTGTGTGCGTGTGTAGGTTTTTTATTTATTTTTATTTCACTTGCTTATACCCCGCCCTTCTCACCCCGGGGGGGGGGGGGGGGACTCAGGGCGGCTTGGATAGCTTAGGGAAGTATTAGGTGTTTGTTTTGCTGCCTGTGCCATTATTCAGAAGATTTCATCCACTTTCTGTCACTGTGAGAATTGGATTTTGAAAAATTTGGCTTCTTGTAGAAACAAGGATTGGTGATAAAACTTCAGTGGAGACTCCTTTTCCGCTGTGATGACTCTTTCAAAAGTGAATTTCCATTCTGAGGGGTAGATTTATCTCCTTTCCTGTTGTTTCAGCCCAATTCTTAACCCTGCGCCATTTGTAAGGCCCCTTCTACACTGCCATTTCTTTTGTGTGTTTGTGTGTGTGTGCAGGAGTGACTTGAGAAACTGCAAGTCGCTTCTGATGTGAGAGAATTGACCATCTGCAAGGACATTGCTCAGGGGATTCCCAGATGCTTTGATGTTTCACCATCCTTGTGGGAGGCTTCTCTCATGTCCTCAAATGGAAAGCTGGAGCTGACAGTGGGAGCTCATCTGTGCTTTGAACTGATATGGCTGTGTTGCCTCATATAATCCAGTTCAAAGCAGATAATGTGGGTGATCTGCTTTGATAATCTGGATTATATGGCAATGTAGATACAGTCCAAAACTGCATTCTATGGTCAGTGTAGACTCATATAATGCAGTTTAATGCAGATAAGGATTTGTAGGACTTTCTAACTCATCTTTTTGAATGACTGAATAAAAATAGGCATTTGACTTTGAAATAAAAGGTACTACCTCGCGATCCATAAACATCTAGTAGACTATCATTTGTGAGAAAGTTTGATGTGAAATGAATGTAGCGCCCTTGTTCTCCGCACCCTCCATACTGCAAGGTGTAAGGTTCGTCTCCATATTTTATGAAAGGATCGGCCACGATGATATCAGCCTAAAATAAAATAGGAACTGGGTTAAATATTGCCTAGTACAAATGACAAATATTTTTGATAGTGACAATTTTTCTGTATTCTGTTGAAAGCTGTCATGACCGGAATCACTGGATTGTTGAATGTTTTCCAAGCTGCATGGCCATGTTCCAGAAGCATTATCTCCTGATGTTTCTCCTGCATCTATGGCAGGCATCTTCAGAGGTTGTGAGAACCTCACAACCACTGAGGATGCCTGCCATAGTTGCATGTGAAACATCAGGAGAGAATGCTTCTGGAACATGGCCATGCAGCCTGGAAAACACACAACACCCCAATCTTTTCTATATTTTTGCTTCATGTAGATGTGAATAGATTTAGCTTAAACTTGCAATAAAAACTTGTAACAGGCGTTTTGACCTAACAATAACATATTCTCAAATAGCTGGGATCTCATCATTCTCTTTTATAAAAGCAAATCTTTTACAATCTGTGTAATCTGTCATGTAGATTTAGCCATAAACTTCTCAATACTCATTCTGTCTTACACCAAAGTAAACATACTACAACCTTACCATTGTTAAATGTATATGCAGTTACAAGATGTTATTTATTTATAGATTTCTATTCCGCCATACATTTCACGAAGCACAATTCAATTCAAAGCACAATTAAACAGAGAGCCCATCCGCACTGCCTCATAAAATACAGATTATCTGCTTTGAACTGGATAATATGGCAATGTAGACTAGTATAATCCCGTTCAAATCAGATAATCTGGATAATCTGTCCAAAGTAAGGACATACACATACAGGGAGATATGGTTTCCAAAGAACAAAAGAGGAGGCAATAGTCTAGCATTCTGTTTCTGAGAAAATATTATAAAAATACTGTCTGGAAGACAACTATGGCTCCTTCTACACTGCCATATAACATCCAGACTATCTGCTTTGAACTGGATTATATGGCAGTGTAGACTCATATAATCCAAAACATTTCGTGGATTATCTGTTTTGATAATCTGGATTATGCAGCCCCTGGTGGCGCAAAGGGTTAAACCTTTGTGTCAGCAGGACAGAAGACCAACAGGTCAAAGGTTCAAATCCAGAGAGGGTGTGGATGAGCTCCCTCTGTCAGTTCCAGCTCCTCATGCAGGGACATGAGAGAAGCCTCCCAAAACATTAAAACGTTCGGGCATCCCCTGGGCAACATCCAATTCTCTCATACCAGGAGCGGCTTGCAATTTCTTAAATTGCTCCTGACACACACACACAAATCTGGATTATATAGCAGCGTAGAAGGGGCCAAGCAGAACCTGAAGAACCGAGGCTGGATCTACACTGCTATATAATCCAGATTATCAAAGCAGATAAACCACATTACTGCTTTTGGATTATATGAGTCTACTCTGCTGTATAATTCAGTTCAAAGCACATAATCAGCATTTTATATGGCAGTGTAGATCCAGATTCAGGCCTTTCCACTGTTTGCCTCCATCCCGTCTATCCACCAGCAATTCTGCCTGAATTTAGGGGTTACATTAATGTTATGAGTGTGACGGCACGAGTGGCGCCACCTATGTGTAGAACTGTTAGTTGCAAGATTCAAACTGTTGTATCATGCTTAATCCTGCCTTTTTACCCTGCTTATGTATAGTTGTATGAATTGGATACTTATAGCTGTCAATCAGTACTGTTTGGCTCCACCTCTTCCTGCAGGAGGGGAGTACTTCCTTTCTTTTCATTCTGCCATCAGAGTTTCTACCAGATGGACATGAGTAAGAGACTTGACTCTAAAAGACCCTGATTTAAATTACCTCTCAGCACCAGTTCTGAGGTTTTTTACCCTTGAGACTTGTGCTTCATGTTCAGACCAACCTGAACAACGCTGGAAGTCTCAAGCTCCTTCAAACCGGTTCTTTTGGCACAAAAGGAAGATCCTGAGTCGTCAAACATAGGCCATCTGAACTGGGGTTGTTGTTTGCTCCGGCATTCACAGCCATTGAGGAAAGAGGAAACTTGGAAAGGCTTCTCAGCTTCAAACACCTTGGACCCAGGACTAACTGAGACTGTAACGTATATTTTCCTTCACCCCTCTGAAGTTTCCAGCTCATTGCTTTAAAGAAATAACTCTTTGTGATCAATAAAACTTATTTTGAGTTATTTACAGTGTTTTGGGTTTTTGAGAGTTCCAGTTTCCTATAGGAGGCCAAGAAGCAATCCCCTGGGGAAAGATGCCATGTCCATGCCTCCTTCATTAAGAATTATAGCCCCCAGGCGCGATGACACAATGAGCTCCCTTTGAGTCTCTTTTTTAGATTGATAAATTGGGATCCAAAAATAAATTTTAAAAATACATCAAAAATATCTTTTAACCATCATGTGTGTATCTACGAATCCCTTTTTAAACTGGCATGGTATCCATAAGAATATAAAACTACAAAATCACAGCTCTGTGTACACTTATTCAGTGGGAAGAATGGTATTTGTAGAATTTTGATTCTACTGAGTTTTGTATCCCATCATGTTCCAGTATTGTATTTGTGACATTTTCAACATGTTAGGCACATGTTTGATCTAATATATAGTTTATACTTACATTGGCGTAAGATTCTGTAGTTACTCTTGCATATTCAGGTTTGACAGCCCATGTCAAAGGAATCACAACTTTTACCGTTTTGAAATAAAACCTTTGCTCTGTAGCAACGAAGAGATAAGAAGATGCTTCTTTAACCATATCCTAACAGAAAAGAAGGGAAAAGGTACATTATGTCGATGAGTAGGACTTATTTCCAGATTTTTTAAAAAGTTTGCATTTTTGTAAATTCTTTCTAATGCCCCATCTACACTACCTTATAAAATCCAGATTACCTGCTTTGAACTGAATTATATGGCAGTTTAGACTCATATAATCCAGTTCAAATTAGATAATGTGGATTATCGGCTTTGAAAATCTGAATTATATAGCAGTATAAAAGGGGCACACTGCAATATAATCCAGATTATGAAAGTAGATGGTCCATATTATCTGCTTTGAATTGGATTATTTGAGTCTACACTGTCATATAATGCAATTCAAAGCAGATAATCTGGTTTGTATGTATCAGCATGGGTGAGACCTTAGATAGTGTACTATTTTTATTTATTTATTTATTTATTTATCGTGTCAGTAGCAACCAGACAATTGTAAATATATATTTAGTACACAAAACTGTTTTTATGGAGATTTCTTTATATTTATTTTACAGAGAATTGTGGTAAATTGTCTTATCCCCTTCCTACAGGCAACATTTCATGGTTCAAAATACATTCTGATCATAATAAGCAAAAGCATATTAGAGCAACAAACAACCATCAGTATCCAAAGATGCTCACCCCAGTAGCTTCCAAAACATTGTGTGTTTTGACAGTGGCCCGTGTTCACAATCCAAATTAGATGTGCAACAACGCTCCTTTCCTTTAGGAAAAACTTAAAACGTGGATCTGGGACCAGGCATTTGGACAATCGGGCAGATAAAGAAAGAACTTTTGACGATGACTAGGAATGATTAATGGATTAGACCTATGGAACTCTGAAAAATGAAACGCTGAGCACGAGAATAGTATATATGACGTTTTATATGATGTTTTATATGATGTGTTATGTACTGGTTGTTTGATTGTTTTAACTGTGATAGCTGCTTTTAATTATGGTTTTGTATATTATGTGTAATTTTGTATAGCATCAAATTGTGCCTTTTTTGTAAGCCGCCCTGAGTTCCCCCTCCGGGGTTGAGAAGGGCGGGGTAAAAGTACCCGAAATAAATAAATAAATAAACAAACAAATAAATAAATAAATATAAAACTCAGTGTAAAATTGGTATTCTGTGGCCCCAAATGTATCTTAGATTGCTTTACCATTAGTGAAACTCCAGCCAAATATGCGTTCATTTGTTTGTTTGTTTGTTTATTTATTTACACTATTTATATTCTCACCCCACAGGGGACTCTGGGCGGATTACAATGCACATATACATGGCAAACATTTATACAACATATATAGACAGACACAGAGGCAATTTAACATTCTAGCTTTTCCAGTTTCATGAGAATTTGCTCGATTCCAGCCACAGGGGGAGCTACCACTTCACCGTCCACTTGTGACAAAAAGTCCTTTGATGGAGTACTTCCTCATTTTTCTGCACGCTGCTGGAAGGCTTTTTTTTATGCCATCGTAAATTAGTTTTAAAAATTGGGTGGTCATGGAAACAGGGATTGATGATAAAGTTTCAGTGCCAACATGTTTTCCCCATGATTACTCTTCCAGGAGTAAATTTGTCTTCCTAGGGATACATTTCTTTTCGCTTCATGTTGCCTCACCCCTGTTTGTAATTAGGAGTAGGATGTAAGCTGGATGTCTGTAACTTGGGGACTGATTGTACTTCCATATAACTTTATAAAGTGAAATTTAATTACAGGTCACAGGTTCGAATGTGGGGAGAATGCAGATTGTGAGGGTTGATAAATGTGAATAAGCAGAATAAGCAGAAAGTTTACCACAATATTTAAACTAAGATATACCCTGCAGTATAATAAAATAAAGCAGATAATCTGGTTTGTATGTATCAGCATGGATGAGACCTTAGATAGTGTACTATTTATTTTTATTTATTTATTTATTTATTTATTTATCGTGTCAGTAGCAACCAGACAATTGTAAATATATATTTAGTTCACAAAACTGTTTTTATGGAGATTTCTTTATATTTATTTTACAGGCTTGTGAAACAAGTAACAGTATATTTAGTTCAAAAGTTCAAACAGGGTAACAATGTATACCTCAGTCTCTTTGAATTCAGGAACAGAAGAATAAGCCTTTAAAATAAGCCTCATACCATAAAATGATCAGTCTTTAAGATAGTTGGCAGCCAGCACTTTCTCTTCACTGTCCAAAGTGAGAAAATGGCAAAATGACAGTTAGAACCGTTGGTCTCAGCAGCTAGCCAGGGGCAGCAGCCAATCAGAATCCTGGCATGCTCAGCCAATCAGCTCCAGCTCCCCATATGGGGACATAAGGGAAGCCTCCCACAAGGATGGTAAAAAATCAAAACATCCGGGGTCCCCTGGGCAACGTCTTTGCAGACAGCCAATTCCCTCACACCAGAAGTTACTTGCAGTTTCTCAAGTCGCTCCTGGCATGAAAAAACATTACTAGAAAAACCTGAGACAATATGTGCATTTCTCTTTCTTTCAGAAAGTGTAGATGGAGGTAAAAAGAATTCATCATGCTGTTAAGTTCCTTCAGCGTGAGAAGAAGATAAAAATCTAGCATGCTGAAATTATGTTTGGAGACATTTCTGTGGGTGGCACTAGCATCTGAAATGAGGGGAAATGGTGCAGAGCTTTAGCAGTGGCATCCCACTTGTGAAACACTTTCTCCAGGAAGGTTTGCCAAGTTACTGTCGCGATGTCTTGCTAAGTTTTTCCTCCCACTCTTTTATCTTGATTATTATCTGCAATTTTAATAGTACAATGTGACTAGTATCGCAATGAAAACTGCAGATTATAATCAAGAGTTTCAGATTTCCACAACTAACAAAATTTGTCCTCTATAGGCATTTTCTATTTTCTTGAGCAGGACTGTATGGCATTCTTGGGCCAGAAGTCCTTCATTACAATAGGGTTTGCTAGTATCAATGGTTCTGCATATCCATAAAAAGTCTAGGAACTTATATCTCATGGATACTGTGTTTGAGTTTTACCAGGTTGTTTATATTAATTGACTTTTGGCCTAGATGAAAGCAATAAAGTCAATGACTATTTTCATTCTCTTGAAGTCCATAGGAACTCAGTGCAACTAACTTAGATCTCATCTACATCTACCAAATTTTCTAGTGCCGATCTGAAGCAGAAACGCACTATGCTGCTGAGTGCAGGGGGAAAGGGTTTGGCAGCTCTGGCTCCTATGAACAGTAGACAGGATCACATTAGAGCTGGCCATTCTGTCCATACTGTCCAAAGTAAAACCCCAGAGCATTCCCTGACTTTTCTTAATGTAAGGCTAAACCGGTTCACCCTGGTATACTCTGCATTAAGGACCAGAAGTCCCTAGGTGTTATTTGAATTTCCAGGACTGATTTTTCAGTTCAGGTTTTAGGGCTAGTGTAGACAAGCCCTTAGTTGGAGTCCAAACCTGTGTATTGCACTCTATATTTTAGTCTTTTTTCATGTTTAAACTACCCCAGCGATATATTTTAATTGAAAATACAAAAAAAAATCCTTTAAAGTTGGTAAGAAAAAATAGGAAGCAAATAAAATACATATGCAATAAAAGATTTGAAGTTTGAAAGGCAATATTGCCCTTTTGGGTCTAATTCCATGTCAGGCTCTCCGTCAATTATAATGAACACAGAGCCACTGCTTAGTAGAGCCATAGGCCATCTTTGCATCTAACAATCAAAACTGACATACAATTTATTCAAAGTCAGCTTTCTGATTCAGACTAAATAAATAACATGGAAAGAAATGTTATTTTTCTGCTATTCTGTTGCTGCTTCATTCTAATCATCACCTTCCACCATTCCAAGTACTCCTGAAGTGAGTGCTATTGCTTATTATAACTCCCGTCATCCATTTACAAAATTGTCAGTAGTATTAAAAGAATGCAAAATATTATATGTAATTAGAGAAAAAACATATACACAGACACTGTCGTTGAAAAATAGCTTGGTAAGGATTAATTATCCCCGGTGACCATTGAACCCCATAGAATCATACAGTTGGAAGAGACCTCGTGGGCCATCCAGTCCAGCCCCCTGCCAAGAAGCAGGAAAATTACATTCAAAGCACCCCGACAGATGGCCATCCAGCCTCTGTTTAAAAGCTTCCAAAGAAGGAGCCTCCACCACACTCCAGAGCAGAGAGTTCCACTGCTGAACAGCTCTCACAGCCAGGAAGTTCTTCCTGATGTTCAGATGGAATCTCCTTTCTTGTAGTTTGAAGCCATTGTTCTGTGTCCTAGTCTCTAGGGCAGCAGAAAACAAGCTTGCTCCCTCCTCCCTATGACTTCCCTTCACATGTTTATATATGGCTATCATGTCCCCTCTCAGGCTTCTCTTCTTCAGGCTAAACATGCCCAGCTCTTTAAGCCGCTTCTCATAGGGCTTGTTCTCCATACCCTTGATCATTTTAGTCGCCCTCCTCTGGACACATTCCAGTATTTAATAGTTAAACTATTTATAATGATGACTTGAATATAATCTTCTCATCAAATCCAGGCTGGTTGGTTAAAAGAGTAGTATGTCTCATTAAAGCCAATGGGGATATCCAGCTGCTACCCAGGCTTACAGAATGTCTAAATTTTCTTTAGCATATCATAATTTGCCAAAGTCATAGCTAAATTGTTAAGTAAGTATGTTAATTGATATTTAGTACACTTACCTTTATGTTGTTAATGATGTTGTCATCTTCAGGTAATCCTGGGTTAATAGCAATAACTATGTCTTCAAATGCACCATTGTTGAACTTTACCATGGTACTGATTGTCCCACGGTGAAGCACCACCACCACCAAAAGAATCCACTGATTCAACATTATCTTCTGCCGTATCCGTGACAGAAATGGCAAAGAATACTTATTTTGTGCCTGTCTTTAAAGATATATATGAGGAGGGAGGGGAGGAGGGAGGGAGAATGAGAAGGGAGGGGGAGAGAAAGAACCTTGTTATGTTTTATGACAGCACTTTGTTCTCACAAGGAAATCCAGCATATTTCCTGATGTTAATTTGATCTTCAATTCGATTACATGTTAACATTCTGGGACATCTTCAGAGAAAATCATCAGTAAAGCAAACCACTATTTTCTTGTTCAGTTCCTATCGAAAGTACATTATTATTATTATTATTATTATTATTATTATTATTATTACTAGCCATCCCCTGCCACACGTTGCTGTGGCCCTGTCTGTGTATATTAGTTTTTTGTGTGTATGTATGTGTATATGTGTATATATGTGGTTTTGCGCATGCGTTATAATGTAATTTTTAATTTTTTGCTTTTTAAGTCTCTTCTGCTGTGTTTTTCAGTGTTTTCATGAGTGATGGTCACTCGTTGGCCTGATAGGTGTCTTGTGTCCAAATTTGGTGTCAATTCATTAAGTGGTTTTTGAGTTATGCTAATCCCACAAACAAACATTACATTTTATTTATATAGAATAATAATAATAATAATAATAATAATAATAATAATAATAATAATAATAGAGAACATTTGTATCCCGTCCTATTCTCGATCTCCGAAGAGGGACTCAGGGTGGCTTCCAACAATATAAAAACACCAATAAAATACACAATTACATAAAATGATGATAAATATACATTTAAAAATAGTTCACCAAGTTTAAAACATGTTCCAAATAAATCCAAAAAATGCGGTCCATACAATCTCATCTAATCTAATAACAACTGTCTATTCTGTGAACGCTTGCTCCCACAGCCAAGTCTTAAGTGTCTTGCAAAAAGTCAGGAGGGAGGGGGCAGATCTAACCCTTCCTTCAAATGTTGAAACGAATGTGAATTACAGAAGCAGTCTAGGACTTCTGACTCCCTTTAGAAGTTTGGACAGTCTAAAAGAGAACTGATCTGCATCAGTCCATACCTTGAAATCAGATTCTCTGCAAGCTATTTTTATTTAAGTCAGAAGGGGTTTATGTCATCTATCTATCTATCTCTATGTAAATTGACACTGTTATATGTATTTTACTACCTTGTGTATTCTGTTGCAATATTATGTGCTTTTTGTACACTGCCCGAGTACTTTTTGGGAGATGGCGGTGGGATATAAATAAAGCTATTATTTATTTATTTATTATTTATTTATTTACTTTGCTTCTATACCGCTGTTCTCAGCCCGAAGGCGACTCACAGCAGTTCACAAAACACAGTACACAGCAAAATTCAAACACCAATATAAACAGTTAATAACCTAATCTAATACACAATTAATACACAATTACTATGAAACCATTCACTAGCGTCTCGTCACTAAAAACATGATCCAGGTTCGTCGTCCATTGTTCCATTCCTATGTCATTACCAGTCTTGCACTAATTATTCGAACGCCTGCACAAATAACCAGGTCTTTACTTTTTTGCAGAAGACCATAAGAGATGGTGCTAATCTAATATCTGTGGGAAGGGCATTCCACAGCCGGGGAGCCACCACCGAAAAGGCCCTGTCTCTCGTCCCCGCCAGTCGAGCTTGTGAAGCTGGCGGGATCGAGAGCAGGGCCTCCCCGGAAGATCTCAAAGTCCTGGTGGGTTCATAGGCCGAGATGCGGTCGGAAAGGTAGCTTGGGCCGGAACCGTTTAGGGCTTTAAAGGTCAACACCAGCACTTTGAATTGAGCCCGGTAGCAAGTCGGCAGCCAGTGGAGTTGGCGCAACAGGGGGGCATGCTCCCTGCATCCCGCTCCTGTTAGTATCATGGCTGCCGCACGTTGGACCAGTTGAAGCTTCCGGGCCGTCTTCAAAGGCAACCCCACGTAGAGAGCATTGCAGTAGTCTATACGAGATGTAACCAGAGCGTGAACTACCGTGGCCAAGTCAGACTTCCCAAGGTACGGGCGCAGCTGGTGCACAAGCTTTAGCTGTGCAAATGCTCCCCTGGTCACCGCCGAAACCTGGGGTTCCAGGCACAGCGATGAGTCCAGGGTCACACCCAAGCTGCGAACCTGCGTCTTCAGGGGGAGTGCGACCCCATCCAACACAGGCTGTAACCCTATGCCCTGTTCGGCCTTGCGACTGACCAGGAGTGCCTCTGTCTTGTCTGGATTCAATTTCAATTTGTTCGCCCTCATCCAGACCGTTACAGCGGTTCAGGACCTCAACAGCCTCCTTAGTAGCAGGTGGAAAGGAGTGACAGAGTTGGACATCATCTGCGTACAGATGACACCGCACCCCGAAACTCCGGATGATCTCACCCAGCGGCTTCATGTAGATGTTGAACAACATGGGGGACAGTATAGAGCCCTGTGGAACCCCACAAGTCAAAGGCTGTGGTGCAGGTGTCTCCCAACAACACCTTCTGAGATCAACCCTCTAGGAATGACCGGAGCCACTGCAAAACAGTACCTCCAAGACCATCCCCGCGAGGCGTCCCAGAAGGATACCGTGGTCGACGGTATCGAAGGCCGCTGAGAGGTCCAGCAGCACCAACAGGGACACACTCCCCCTGTCGAGCTCCCGGTGCAGATCATCCACTAAGGCGACCAAGGCCGTCTCGGTACCATGTCCCGGTCTGAAACCAGACTGTGCCGAATCCAGATAATCCGTGTCTACCAAGAATACCTGGAGTTGTGAGGTATTATTATTATTACTATTACTATTATTATTATTATTATTAGTAGTAGTAGTATTAGTAACATAACAAGATTAGTACACAGCAAGCAAGATCACGATGCTGACTATTGTACTGGATCACACATCAGACACTTCCCAAGTGTCTAGGACTGTATGATGTACAGGACTGTAGCTGGGGGGGGGTTAGGGGTTCAACCCCCCCACCCAAAAAAGTTTCAGGTTAAAAAAAACTGGTTTACTCATGAATTTAACCAAATCCCCATGCTAAGTCTATGAGACACAAAAAATTAAGAGTCCCTCCAGAACGGCAAGTACTATCTCAAACAAATATTGACAATTTATTCACACTGTCATTACTTGCAGCAATAGCCGATGTAGCGAAGCAACCAAGTTGAGGGTGGGTGGGTGTTGAATGCTCTCATTAAGGAGGCCAGACTTGGTGGAGGTGGTTGACAGGGGCGGAGCTGCAGGCTATTGAAGACTGCTCTGCCCCCTGCTGTGCTCTTTGCTTCAGCGTGAGCTAGGAGGCAGGTTTTAACCCCCCCCCCCTGAAATTTTCACACACCCCCTGTAATTTTCAAACCTCCCCCCCCCCTCCTGAATTTTTTTTCTGGCTACGGCCCTGGTGATGTATCAGGGAATAATGCATCCCAGTAGGGTGGCCTTTTGCAGCTGACAGATGGTAATTTTGTCAGGGCCGATTATATTTAAGCGCAGGTCAAGGATTTTAGGTACTGCACCCAATGTGCCAATTACCACTGGGACCACTTTTACCAAAGTCTTTGCAGTTCGATCTTTAAATCCTCATATTGTGTCAGCTTTTCCAGTTGTTTCTCTTCAATCCTTCTGTCGCCTGATATCGCAACATCGACGATCCAAAATTGGTTTTTTTAATACAATTGTGAGGTCAGGAGTATTGTGCTCCAAAACCTCCATGGATCCCTGCCATAGATGCAGGCGAAATGTCAGGAGATAATGTTTCTAGAACTTGGCCATATAGCCTGAAAAACTTACAACAACCCAGTGATTCCAGCCATGAAAGCCTTTGACAACAAATTGAAGGAGTATTTTTGAGAACCAGTTTTCTATGTACTATTGAAAGATAAATTATACTTATTTTCTAGAAATGTCAAGAAAAACATTTTCAACAACTAGGATAAGCTCCAAGTTGCTTATTCTTGAAGTTGCTTAAGTAAATATGCATCAAACTCTTGTGATGTATGATGGAAGATGGTTTGCCTGTTATGCTCCCCACTCTTCTGACAGTTTGTCTTCCTCAGAAGATGAAGAAGACTTACAGCAGTCAAGTCTTCCTCCTCAAGTTCAGCCCAAGGAATAGCCAAATCTTTCTCCAGTTCTGTAATATGGGAGCTAGAGACAAGACCTCCAAGCTCTCATGAGAGAAGATGAATTAAACATTTGAGGCAGTCCCTAAGATGCAATGAATAGCTACATGCATTTAGAAAGTCTCTAAATACTGTTGGGCATGTAGATGTGGGTTGAGCTGAGTCTCATTAAAAGCAGGTAATGGTGGCTACTGAAAGCAAACTTCCGTTCATTTCTTGACATTTTGGATTTATGACCCTTGGACTCCTCATTGGCTTTTTTACTTAGAAGCTGTTCGGATTTATGGCTTCTTGACCTTGAACTGTCTCTTATTGGATTTCTTTCTTGCTTTAGCTTCTAAACTTAAAGACTGGAAGATTGCCCAATGTAAAATCATCATGTAAGTAATGTTTTCAAGGTGCTCTTTTGCTTCTGTCTCACAGTCCCATGTATATTTATGTTCTTTTTCTCTTCAGTCATATGAATATGAATACACTCACATAAATAGTATTTCCTTGGGGGGGGGGGGGGTTGGGATGAAAAGAGCACCGGCATAAAGCATTCAAAGCTCCAAGCCAAGCCTAGAATCTTACTTTATACTAACATGGATTTTAGTTTTTATTCTTTTGTGGCATACTTCAAAGATTTATTTTATGGTACAATAGCTCACTGAAGAGAAATGTTTGCATTCAGGATGACCTGAAATGTCAGAAATGACATACAAATGGTGCTGCTAAACTGGCACCTCTATGTTGGCTCCCACTCCCCGCTTTTGGATTCTTAATGTGAAATAAATGCTTGCCTAGAAATGTGACATTTTGACATTATTTTTCTCCAACATTACTAGAAATGCATAATGGCATGACAAAATGGGGTAAGTTCTAGTACACCCATTCTGGAAGGCGATGGAA